GAGAGCAGACATCTTTGTCTTGTTCCTAATTTTTAATGAGTAAAGCATTTATTATTTCATCATTAAGTATGATTTTAGTGGTAACTTTTAAAAAAATAATTTCAACTTTTATTGTAGATTCAGGAGGTACATGTGCAGGTTTGTCACATGAGTACACTGTGATGGTGAGGTTTGGGGAATGAATGATCCCATCACCCAGCTAGTGAGCATAGTACCTAATAGTTTTACGACCTTTGCTCCCCCCATTTCTCCTTCCTTCAGTAGTCCCTGGTGTCTGTTGTTGCCATCTTTATGTCCATGTGTACCTAATGTTTAGCTTCCACTTATAAATGAGAACATGCAGTATTTCTGTTCTTGCATTAATTCACTTAGAATAATGGCCTCCAGCTGCATCCATGTTGCTGCAAAGGACATAACTTTGTTCTTTTTTTTTTTTATGGCTGCATAGTAGCCATGGTGTATTTATACCACATTTTCTTCATCCAGTCCACCGTGCCTAGGTGAATTCCATGTCTTTGCTGTTGCAAATAGTGCTGCATTAAACATACGAGTGTGGGTGTCTTTTTGGTAGAAGAATTTCTTTTCCTTTGGGTGTATACCCAGTAATGGGATTGCTGGGTTGAATGATAGTTCTATTTTCAGTTCCTTGAGATATCTCCAAACTACTTTCCACAGAGGCTGAACTAATTTACATTCTCACCACCAGTATATAAATGTTCTCTTTTCTCTGCAGCCTCATCAACATCTGTCGTTTGTTGACTTTTTATTAATAGAAATTGTGCCTGGTGTGGGATGGTATCTCATGGTTTTGACTTGCATTTCTCTGATGATTAGTGATATTGGACATTTTTTCATGTACATTGGCCGCTTTTATGTCTTCTTTTGAGAAGTGTCTGTTCATGTTTTTTTACCCATGTTTTATTGGGGTTATTTGGTTTTTGCTTGTTGAATTGTTTAAATGTCTGATAGATTCTGGCTATTAGACCCTTGTTGGATGCATAGTTTGTGAATATTTTCTCCTATTTTGTATGTTGTCTGTTTACTCTGTTGGTAGTTTCTTGTTTTTTCTTTTTTCTTTTTTTTTGAGATGGAATCTTGCTGTGTCACCCAGGCTAGAATGCAGTGGCTCACTCTTAGCTCACTGCAACTTTCACCTCCAAGGTTCAGGCTATTCTCCCACCTCAGTCTCTTGAGTAGCTGGGATTACAGGTGCCTGCCGTCACATCTGGCTAATGTTTTATGTTTTTAGTAGAGACAGTGTTTCACCATGTTGGACATGGTGACCTCAACTCCTGATCTCAAGTGATCTGCCTGCCTCAGTCTCCCAAAGTGCTGTTGATAGTTTCTTTTGCTGTGCAGAAGCTCTTTAGTTTAATTAGGTTTCTTTCTTTTGCCTGATTGCTCTGGCTAGGACTTCCAGCAGTAGGTTTTTGTAGATGCTTTTTATTGAAGAAGTTTCATTAATTTCCTAGTTTTCTGAGGTTCTTTCTTAAAAGTAGGAATGGATGTTGAGTTTTGTCAAATGCTTTTCCTGTGACTATTGAGATGATTAAATGATTTTTCTTTTCAGTTTGGTGAGTTACATTGACTATTGAATGCTAGCCAACCTTGTTTTCCTCATGTAAACCCCACTTGCTTACTAAGTATTATCTTTTAAAATTTATATTGTTTGATGTGATTGGCCAATTTTTTATTTAGAATTTTTACATGTATGTTCATGAAGGATGTTGGATTGTAGTTTCCCTATCTCTGTGGTTTTGCTTTGTTTTCTTGTCTGGTTTTGGTAGAGGGAAATGACTTCATAGAAGAAGTTCAGAAGTATTCTTTCTTCTTTAACTTTCAATTGGCTATAATTGATACAATTTTTTTTCTTAAATAAAAATTATTGGTAGAATTCACCAATGAAACTCTCTGGGTTTGGAGATTGTTTTTTTGTGGAAGAGGGGAATGTTAAACACATTTAATTTCTTTAGTAGATATTCAGGCTATCTATTTCTTTTTTTAGTGAGCTTTGGGAATTATGTCTTTCAAGGAATTTATACATTTTATCTAAGTTGTCAAATTTATTGGTATAAGGTTGCTCATAATATTTCTTTGTTATCCTTTTAATATCTGTAGCACCTATAGTGATATCACCTCTCTTATTTCCACTAATGTTAATGTATGTCTTCTTTTTTTTTCTTGATTAGCTTAGCTAGAGGTTTATTAATTTTATTGTTTTTCTCAGAGGACCTGCTTTTTGTTTAATTTACTTTCTCTCTCTCTCTCTCTTTTCCCCCCTATTTCTGCTGTGATCTCTTTTTTTTCTGCTCACTTTGGGCTTACTTTCATCTTCTTTTTGTAGTTTCTTAATGTGAAAGCTGAGGTCATTTACTTGAAAGTGTTCTTCTCTAAAATAGGGAGTTAGTGTTATAAATTTCCTTCTAGTACTTCTAATACACAGCTTTACCTTTAGCTGTGTATTAAAATTTTGATATGTATTATTTTAACTTTGATTCAGTTCATAGATTTCTTCTTCGAACAACGTTTATTTAGAAAAGAGCATCTTGTGGATTTTTCAGAGATATTTCTGTCATTGATTTCTGAATTAATTATATGGTGGTCAGAGAACATACATTCTATGACTTCTATCCTTTGAAATTTATTACACATGTTTTATGGCCCAAAATATGGTCATGGGCACTTGAAAAAAATGCTTATTTCTACTGTTGTTGGGTGGAGTGTTCTATAAATATTAGTTAGGTTAATATTTTTTTTGTGAGGTATTTTTGCTGGGTATAGAATTATAGGTTAACACATTTAAAAAAGCATTTTTAAAATATTGCGGGTACTATCTTCTCATTTCCATTGTTTCCAGTGAGAAAGCTATGGTTATCCTTTGTTTATTTATTTATTTTTTTGAGACAGGGTCTCACTCTGTTGTCCAGGCTGGAGTGTAGTGGTGTAATCATGGTTCACTGCAGCCTCAACCTCCCCAGGCTCAGGTTATCCTCCCACCTCGGCCTCCCAAGTAGCTGGAACTATAGGCATATGCCACCATGTCCAGATAATCTTTGTATTTGTTTTAGAGACAGAGTTTTGCTGTGTTTCCCAGGCTGGTCTTGAACTCCTGAGCTTAATTGATCCACCCACCTCAGCCTCCACAGATGCTGGGATAACAGGCATGAGCCATTGTGCCCAGCTGTTATCCTTTATTTGTACCTTTGTTCATTTTTCCCCCTTGTCTGCTTTTAAGATTTTCTTTGGCATTAGTTTTGAGTAATACTATTATGAGGTGCCTTGGTGTGATATTATTTATATTTCTTGTACTATAGCTTTGTGAGATTCTTGTTCTGTAAGTTTGTGGTTTCCATTAAATTTGAAAAAGTTTGGCCATTATGTCTATAATAATTTTTTTTCTGCCCTCCTCCTTACTTTGGAAATCCAATTTCATAAATATTAGGTTGCTTGAAATTGTCTGATAGCTCACTGATTCTCATATCCTTTTTGGATTCTTTTTCTCTGTATGTTTCATTTCAGATAGTTACTATTGCTGTATTTTCAAGTTTACTCATCCTTTCTTCTGCAAAGTCTAATTTGCCATTAATCCCATTCAGTGCATTTTTCATCTCAGATATTGAATTCATCTCCAGAAAACCAGATATTGTTTTAATCTCTAGAAGTTCAATTTAGCCATTTTAAAATGTCTTCCACATCTCTATTACAGTTTTTGAACATCTGTAATACAGTTGTAATAACAATTTTAGTTTTAATTTACTGGTTTTTCTTGTCTTGAGAGGTTATATTTTTCTGCTTTTTTGCATGCCTGGTAATCTTTGATTGGATATGACACATTGTGAATTTTACAGTTTGTGTGTTGGATAGTTTGCATGTCTACAAATATTCTTTATTTTGTGATGCAGGTGAACTAGTTGGAAACAGATTCATTATTTGGGTCTTACTTTTAAGATTTGTCAGGCTGGACCAGAACATTGTTTAGTTTAGGGATAATTATTCCCTGCTACTGAGGCAAGGTCCTTCTAAGTGCTCTACCCAAATGTCCCATAAAATATATTTTTCAGTCTTCCTAGTGGAATTAGGTGCTCTTCATCTTAATACTCTCAGATGTTTTCCCTCCAGATTTGGGTAGTTTCCTCAGATGTATGTATTTATTTGTACTATACTGAATAATCAAAGAGAAACCCTCTACAAACTCTTGGAATTCTTTCTTCCTTTTTTTTTTTTTTTTTTTTGAGATGAAATTTTGTTCTGTTGCTCAGTCTGGAGTACAGTGGTGTGATCTTGGCTCTGCCTCCTGTGTTCAAGCAATTCTCCTGCCTCAACCTCCCAAGTTAGCCGGGATTACAGGTGCCTGCCACCATACACAGCTAATTTTTGTATTTTTAGTAGAGATAGGGTTTTGCCATGTTGGCCAGGGTGGTCTCAAACTCCTGACCTCAGGTGATTTGCCCACATCAGCCTCCCAAAGTGCTGGGATTATGGGTGTGAGCCACCGCGCTTGGCCCAGCATTTTTATATAGGAACTTTTGAACACTTAATGTATTCCACTTCTGGCATATGTTGTCACCTATTTCATTTCTATTTATTAAGTATAAACATCATTATTTATGTTTTATATAATTAATGTTTGTTTATATATGCTATTTTCCATCACTCTTCATTCCTTCCTGCATTTTTGAGTTTCTACCTGGAATAATTTTCTTTCCGCCTAAAGAACACTTTTCAGTATTGTCCTTAGTGTTTGTCTGCTTTGTTGAGTTTCTCTAGTTTTTGCATGTTTGAATGTGTTTCTATTTCACTTTCATTCTTGAAGAATATTTTTGCTGGGTATAGAATTCCAAATCAGCAGTTATTTTCTTTCAGTACTTAGAAATACCTTCCAATAGACTCTGCTTTCCAATTTTTTTGTTAGGAGGTTTATAAAAAAAGATAATTTTCCTTCTGGCTGTTTATATATATATATATTAACCCATTAATGATGTGGTTTTAATTCTTGCATTGATTTTGAACACGTCTCAACCATTTTCCCTTCAAAGATTGCTTCTGTTTCATTCTTTTTTCTCTGGGATTACAAAAGTAGGTCCAACTTATTGTATTTCTTATTTCTCTTACATTTGTATTGTGTTTTTCATCTCCTTTGTCTCTCCATAATTCATTTTATTTTTTGACCATTGTTATCTCTTACTAATTATTTTTTCATCTTTTTCTAAGCAGTTGTTAAACTTATTCATTTAATTCCTAATTTGGGTTATTTTATCTTTTGGTTCTTGAATTTATAATTTTTCAAATTTTAAATATTATTTTGGTTCCTTTCTGCAATTCTACATTTTGTCCTTATTTTGTTGGACAATAAAACATCCTGATCTTTTCCCCATGGAAAGTAATGTCTTCTCTACCACATTGCACTTGTACTGTTGGTGTTCTGAATATAAAGTTTATAAATTCAGTCTTTTACTTTATGTTGTTGGTTTCTGCTTATCAGTCTAAAATTTCCAGATCTTTTGCAATCTTAACTAGGCCCACGATTTTACGAGGAGGCCAGGAAATCAGCAGAAAGGACTCTAACTCAAAAACCACCAAATTTATTCTCTTCTGACACAAGATTTTCATGCTGAAGTCATGAGAAAAGTAAGTTTAGCATGGAATCCAGGAATGGCACAGCATGATGGCAAATCTATCAACTGTAAATTCAGCAAATAAAGGAAAGTTTCTGCCATCAAGGAACTTATCATCTAGTGTGGGAGACAAAAAGAACACAGATCAATAATTAGTAGGACATATTAAAACTATGCAGTTGGCTGAATAATGAAGTACAGATCCTGAGTGTACTTCACTTTCTAGTCTCTAGATGGAGACTATGAGGACTAGAATAGTTTTGAAAGGCCCCAGGTGTGCTGTTACTAGGTGTAAGAAAAAGGATCCCATGATGAATTATTTTCTTAAAACTTTAATTAATTCATTCATCCATTCAGCATTTGGACATTTTTGGACATTATTATATCCCAGACACTGAATGCTGTACTGGCCCCATTATAGAACAAGACGGGCTGGACCCCTCCTCTCATGAACCTTACATTCCCGACACTGCCGCTTGTGGACCAGAGTGGGAAGGGGAGGAGCATGGCTGGAGCAGGCCTTGCAGAGGAGTGGCCTGAGAGGAGTGATTGGGCCCATGACCCTGATCATGATCTGCCATCTTATCTCCCCAAAACATCCCTGGAGGTTCTGCCTGCTGAGGACACAGTACTTACAGATGGCCCTCATCCTCTTCTTCTGGGTTTGGTGCAGGGATCTGGGTGGGGATCACAAGTCCATCACCTCGTGTCTCTGTGATATGAGCCAGATTGTGATTTTGAGATCAGCAGTTGTATCTTTTCATCTCTGAATCTCAAACCTGCCACATTGTAGGTGCTCAGTACATGTTTATCAATGAAAGATGTTACTTCAAGAATTACCTGAGGTCCCTACCTTTAAGCACTTAGTGTCATCTCCATTTACAGACAAAGCCTTGCTCATGGTCACAAGCCTGCATCTTCTGTAGAGCCCTATTCAGTTCTTACCTATTCCATCACTCTCTCTGTCATAATTCCAGTTTATAATTGGGTTAACCTTTTCCTGAATTCTTACAAGACTAAGCCTGAATGAATCATTTTACCATTTCAGTAATAGCATCCATCTTAAAAGCCACTTACCATCTGCCAAGCACTGTGCTGAGTATTTTAATAAATACTTCAACTCAGTTCTTAACAACATCCCTTTGAGAGAGGCATTTTTATTCATCCCATGTTACAAAAGAGAAATCTAGGGCTTACTGAGGCGAAATACTGTACGTGGAATAGCACAGCTAGTAAGTGCCAGAGCTAGTATTTGAACCCTGGACGGTCTGACTCAGAAGTCTGTACCCACAAGCATCATGCAATTACTGCTTCTGTTGTACCGTGTTAGGCTCAGTTCCCCACTGGAAGGCAAGTGCTTTCCCGTGCAGGAAGCCCATCTTAAGGTTTTGTTTGTTTGTCTTTCTGATTTTCTGCCCACCTGTGAAGGCGAGGGATAATGCCTACGTATGGTTGATATTCAGTAAAGACTTGCTGCGCTGAAATTTCACTTGCGGCACTGTCAGGCTGCAGGCTGCCACTAGGTGGTGCTACATTCCAGGGAGTGGACGGTGGCTGGCCATTTGATTGGCAAGAGGCAGGACAGTAGGAGAGGAGTGTGGTCTATTCAGAAATGGGATGGCTGGGGCCGTGGAGGAGGGGAACTTCATACCTCCTGAGAGGAGACAGGGTTGGGAGAGAGAATCTACTACCCAACTTCCCCGGAAAGACTGCAGTTAGAAAAGTGGGCTGGCCAGGCAACAGAGGGGCCAGAGAGTGCCTCTGCAGCCCACAGTGGTGGGATGGAAGTAAAGTCACAGGCTGTTAGGTAACTACCAGGCTCTTGGTAGAGAGCGCCTGGCCTGCCTTTCTGCCCAGGACCATGGGAGGTAAATGGCCAAATCAGCATTTTCATTCCACTCCCATTCAGACGTGTGGCTCCCCATCTTCTAGTTGGGGCTTCAGGCCACTGTTGTTTCAGGTGCCCAGGGGAGAAGTGTGCAGTGACGGGTTCTAGACCCTAGCCCTCTGGCCCCTGCTACCTGTCTATTCTCCTCTTCCACACTCCCCTCTGGCCTAGCCACGTTTTGGTGGAGAAACAAGTTTAGTGTTGTGAGCAGGACTGGGATGGCAAGTACTGATGGCAAAGTTCAGAGTGGGTGGGTCTCTGCAGGCTGTCCTAGTCAGGGAGGGCTTCCTGGAGAGGGAGGTCCCAGTGGACAGGTGAGGTCTGATCCTGAAGCCTTGAGTGTCAGGTCTTAGGGTTTAGCAGTAGTTCAGCTTAGCAGGAAGAGCAGAGGATGTTAGGAGACTTGGGCATTGGCCACAGGCTAGTTGTGAGCAGTGACTGCATCTCAGCCTCAGTTTTTTCTGTAGGGTGATCATATTTATTGTCCGCACGAGGATGATCTTGTGAGTGAAAGGAATTATTAATTGCCCTGGGTCAAAGGCAGAGACTGGGACAGCTGTCTGGGCAAACCAGAATATAGGGTCACCCAACTTCTATATGAAATGAGCTGCCTTCTAAGACCACCGACTTGAGGTCCTCTGATTTATGACTCTAAGGGAAGCACGCAGAAGGGACACAGAAAAGAGGCCAGAATGTCCTGGTTCTGTCGCATTCTAGGATGCATGAAAGACGTGAGTGATGCTCACTCATGAATCCATGGATCTAGTCATCCAGTCCAGCCATCCATCCATGAGTCACACAGATCCAACAGTCTGCAGGAAGACCCTGGGTCCCAGGCTCTGGAGGGCTGCACAGACACACTGCTGTTCTTAGGGGAGAGCTGGGGTGCCCTTTGACCTGGCAGGGCTCTCTTGTGCTGGAGTTGGTTCCTTCCCTCCCTTCCTGGTCCCATCCTAGCTCTGTCCCTGAGGAATTCTTGACCCAATCCACCTTCCTTTCCTTGGGCCCCTGGTGCACCGAGTATGCCGCTCCCTGCCCCGCCCCCACCCCCAAGAGGTTTGCTAGGAAGCACTTGGGATGGACCCCGGTTCTGTCTGACCCTGTCTTGCCCACCCATTCTCATCCCACCCCAGCCTCTGCATCCTAACAGCCCTATGACAAATGATCCCATGGCTACGTTAAATTGGCTGCTGCATCCAATACCGTGGATTATAGAGAAAGGAAGATACATAGCTCATTAACTCAAATCCCAGCCTCCCTCCCCCAGGCCTCGTTTCTTCTCCATCCCCCCCTCTGCTTATCTCTGGAGAAGAGGCCTGGCCAGAGGACTACCTCCTCTTCCCTCTAAGGACTTTTTGGGGAAGGGAGGAACTTGAGGGGAGGGGACATGGGCTTTCAGGGACCAGGTGAGCGCTCTAGCACTGCATGGGACCCACCAGCAGAGGGCTCCACGGCATAGCGGGTCCTGCGGGGAAGATGGAGATCTGTGAGGAGAGACTCCTGGAGGATGGAGAGGACGCTGGCTGGGGACATCTTCCACCCCAGGCCTTTCCCTTATATTAATACAACGGAAAGCAGGGCAGATCTCGCCCTGAAGACTCTTTCTGGAGCAGGGAAGGGGAGTGCCCCCCCCCATCCCCGAGAGCCAGGGCGAAGCCACAGCAGCAGGGCTGTGTCGTGGAAGAAGGGGAGTTGCGCCGCGTGTGGGGCGCCCTTGCCTTGACCTGGCCCCCGGGGCTTCTGGTTTCAGCGGACTGCAGGGGCGACGGCACCAGGGCAGGAGGCTGGGGAGGGAGGCTGGGAGCTGTGTTGGATGGGACACTGGTTTGTTGAGATGATGTCCGTCTCCCCCATTCAAGGGCCCACCTGTGGCCAAAGATAGGGAAGAGCTGCGCTTTCAGAGGGTCATGAAGAATTCATCCGGCCTTTGTGCCCGCCTGCCCGTGAACTCCAGCTGAGACAATGGCAGGGCTGGGGGCCTTTGTCTCTCTGCCGGTAGAGGCAGTGTCAAGTGTTGGCCATCTGTGGGCGGGGAGCCCCCCTCTCTTGGGAGAGGGGCAGTCCTGTAACTTGACGAGGGGCACCAAATTCAGGTCTAATTAATTGGAAATTAAAATTTCCATTTGACTGGGCCAGAAACAATTGGGGGTGGGGACCTAAAGTCAGGAGAGGCCACTGGGAAGAGGGATGGTGTACATGGTGTGCGTCTCCGCTAACCTTACTCTGGAGGAAGCAGGGTGTGCCCCCAAGATGCACTCACAGTCAGAAAATCAACCAACCAACTGACAATCCAACAACACAATAGTGGCTGCATGCTTTCCTAGCAAAGGTGCTTGCAGAAGCAAGAAGGCCTCTCATGCCATGGAGCGTTTCAGGCACCCATCACGCGCTTGGTACTGTGCCATGTCCATCAGCAATGCATATGCTGCCTGAAATTCCACCATTAGAAATTCATTTCTTTGTGACTTTACAACTGTTTAATTAACTTAGTGTTTCTTGAACTCACATTGTATGCTGGGTTCAATTTCACATGTGGGACTGTGTCAGTGAACAAAAGGCAAAACGCCTACTTTTATGGAGCGTCTAGTCCAGCGGGGAAGACAGAGATAAAGAAATAGACCTATGTTTTGTAAGGGGAAGGCCTTCTGTGTGGGCACGACGGGCTGTTCTTTTAGGTAGGGTGGTCAGGGTAGGTCTTACTGAGGGCTCTTGAGCAGCGGTCTGAAAGCTGTGGTGGAGTTAACCGCGTGGCTGTCTGCGGGAGGGCGCTCTAGGCAGAGGGAAGGGGAGCAATGCGAGGTGGGATTGTGCTTGGTGTCTATTGAGTGGGCCAGCCTGGCTGGAACGAAATGGGCAGGGAAGAGAAATGGAGAAATTGTGGTTGGATTCGAACATGAGGAACCCTGGAGGCCATTGAGAGGACTTTGGCTTTAATGGTGAATGAGATGGGCCATGGGGGTTTTGAGCAGGGAGGAGCCTGATTTGACTTATGTTTCACCAGGTCATTCTGGCTGCCATGTGGTGGGTGGAGTAGAGGCGGGGACACGGGGCAAGTGGGAGGCCAGTTAGAAGCCACTGCAATGGTCCAGGTGTGAGATGGCGTTCCCCAGACCCCATTGGTGATGCTACTGCCTCTGTGTTTGGTGGTGGGGCTGGTCCCTCATCTAAGTCCTTCTCAGCCCTAACAGAGATGCCCCCACCTGGCTGTGCCAAAGCCTGCCCTGGAATTGAGATGGTGACACCCTCCCTGCCCTGTCCCTTGCCCTTGAAAGAAGCCTCAGAGCCTATCTAGTGGTCCAGAGGCCTGGTTTCTCCTGCCAGCTCTGACCTAGTGAGTGTTTCCAGCCATTTGCTTCACACCTCTGTGCTTCAGTTTCCTCACTATGAAACTGACGAGTACATTGCCTGGTCTAGGCCAGGCATGGGGGCTACAAACTTGAGTAGGATTTCCAGGAGTCTGTGGGTCCTCCTGTACAAGGGTGACAAGGAAACATGCGTGGGATACCACAGGCATCAAGGACTCCGTGTTATTTTTAAAGTGTGCTGGGAACCTGTGAGAAGGGGTGACTGGACCAATTCTGCCTGGAGCAGGCAGAGAACGCTTCCTGGAGGAGGCAGCTGTTGAACTGAGGCTGGAAGGACAAGGCAGTGTTCACTAGGCAGATAGGAGGAAATGGTGTATCTGGCAGAGAACAGCAGGGGCAAGGGCTTGGAGATGCAAAAGTCACAGTTAAGATACCACCTTAAAATCAGCTAATTTTAGAGCCAGAAGGGACCTTGGAGATGATTAAATTCAGTGGTATTCAAACATTTTTTGTCTTATTTCAAGCATATATAGAATTCCATTGTATAAACCAGATAATATTAATAGTTAACATCTATTGTTTACCATATGCCAAACACTTTCCCTTTGTTGATTCAATCTTTTCCCACCAATCCAGTGAGTTCAGTTACTACTACTAACATCCTAATTTTATAGATGAGGGAAATGGGCACAGAGAAGTTAAGGAACTTGCCAGTGGTCACAGTGTGAGTGAAAAGGCTAGGATTTGAACCCAGGTAGTCTGGTTCCAGCCTGGATGTGAAGGTGGAGCTGCTTGCTTATGGAGCGGTGGAACCCAGAAGCCCTTGTCCCCTCCTCATCCACACATTTCCCACTGGACATATCCCATGGATATGTGCTCCCTCTGAGACCACTGATTTAGATCAGTCACGTGATGGAGAAGCCGTATCTCCTGCCCATGCCATAGTTTCCAAGGTTAATGACGGCTAAGTCAGGGAAGGCCTTCTGGGGAGGAAATGCCCATTTCGTGTCATGAACGTCCATTCTTTTACCTTGTGGGATGTTTCTAGAAAAAGCTTCAGCCTTGTAGGGAGGCTGCATGGGGGTTGGCAGGACAGCGCGTGCCTTTGTTTCCAACGGGGACTCCTTGGTCTTCGGCTTTCTTCAGCACTGAATACTCAGGTCCCAGGCCTGGGGGCAGAGGCAGGAGGAGCAAGACTCTCAGTGGACTCCATGTGGTTGGTGATTGGCAGGTGGGGATGAGGAGCATGTGTGTGTGGAGGGTCTGCAGGTCTCAGGTAGAAAGTGCAGTGCCAGGGCATCAGTGAAGTGGGTAGGAGGGACAGCCCCCTTCACACTGACCTCCCCCCTGCCACAGCTTGCTTTAAAACAGAAGAGGTTGGGATTTTGCCCTGGTTGTCAGGAAGGGGCATGGTTATGTGAGGGCTGGTGGACAGGGGAGCAGAAGTTTGATTTTCATTGGAGGCTGCCCCTCCCCATTCCCCTTTCTGAGGGATTGGGGGGTACTAGAAACCCTTTGAGTTCCCAGGTCCTCATTCTAAGCCTCTAGAGTCAGCTTCCAGGGGTGGGTAGAGACCATGCCTCCTCCAGGGGTCTTTCCTGACCTCCCAGCCAGCAGGCTCCTCTGTCCTATGGGGCATCTCTGGATCCCTCTCTGGTTCTTGCTGGTACTTTTGGCCACAGCTTTACATCCTGCTTTCCCATCCCAGGTGCTCTTTCCCCCAGGTTGGCATCCAGCTTGTTCCAGGTATACATGGATCCAGTATTTGGTGAGTGGTTACTCCAGGCATCAGGCACCAAGAGGGGGCCTGCCCCTTAGCAGCTTCCAGTGTGGTGTGTGCATGTGTATATGTCTGTATGCATATATGTGTGAGCATGTGTGTATGTGTATAAATGTGCATGTGTATGTGTATTTAAGTGTATATGTGTACGTATATGTGTATGTGTATATGCGTGCATACGTGTATGTATACATGTATATGTGTTTATATCTGTGTGTATAATTGTATGTATGTGTATGTGTGTATAAGAATGTATGTATATAAATGTGTGTGTATAAGTGTATGTATGTATATGCGTGTGAGTATAAATCTGTATGTATATGCATGTGTGTATAAATGTGTGCATGTATGTATATGTGTGTCTGTGTACAAGCGTGTGTATGTATGTGTAGATGTGTGTATGTGGTTTGGTCTGAGGAGGGTTGAGACACACACAGGCTGAGGCCCAGACTTACTCTGAAAACTGCGGCTGAGCCCAGTAGCGTTTGGGGCAGGGATGGGCGGCTCTTGTTAGTGACCCTGTCCATGGTCCGCAAATCCACCAGAAAGACAGCGTCCTTGTTAATTAATTTTAGGCCTCTCAAGAGAAGCCTTGGCCATCCTGTCCTGGCCCTCTCCCCAGAACATGTCATCTCCCCTAAAATGCTGACCTTCTACACTTGAGGGAGGGCCCTGCTTCCCTCCATCATCCCCCATGCCCACAGCAATCACCTAAATCTGCAGCATCCCGAATTCCGGGAACCGCTGAGAGGTTCACGTATCCCATTACTGTTTTGGCCCTGTCCTCTCTTCCTTGGGCCCAGCCAATGTCATGTTGGTTCCTTAGCAGCCCCGGGGAGAAGCGGAGGGCGGGGAGGGTGGGGAGAGTCCAAGGAGCCATCCTGAATCCGCAGGCCTCCCGTCTGTCCGCCGGTTAGTGCGGCCGTGCGGGCACCAGGGGGCACCGGAGCGTCGGGGTTCGCGCGGCGGCTCCTCGCAGCCCAGGGGGGCGTGGCGCACGGGAACCGCCAGGGGGCAGCAGAGCGCAGGGCCGCGGGCGCGGGGCGCAGGGCTGGGCGGCGGCAGCTGCGTTCCCGGCTCCGAGAGCCGTTCTCTGTTAGGAGGGTAATTTAGAGCAATTACACCGATTATTATTGCTTTTCTAATTAGTGCTTTTCCTACAGAATTAGCCGAGTGTTTATTAGGAGCTGCTTGTTGCCAGCCGCTTAACTGCTTCGCTGCCGGGTGCGGGCGCGGGGAGGGGCCGACGCGTGGGGCTGCCTGGTTATGTGGTTTCGCATAAAAGCATGGATTAAATATTCATTCTGCTTTGTTACATATAGCATTAATTTTTATCAGCTGTATGTTTTCCTTGAAGTTTTCCCTGCGTGTTAACGTTCAGGCGGGCTGCAGAGGAACTCCTGGGCCTTGGCCGGTGGGGAGGACAGTTCTGTGACCCTGGGGGCAGAGGGGTCCCTCTGACATCGGTGACATGGTTAGACTTTTCCCAAGCGCTTGTCCCCAGATCCTTCTAACACCGCTGAGAGGGAAGCAGGATGGATGAGGAAACTGAGACCCGCGGTGAGGGGTCTTGCATGTCACTCCCAGAGCTGACAGACCAGACTGCGGGGGCTGGCATGAAGTCTCCACCACGGTCATCGCTGGGACCTTCTAAATCTTCAGGCCCCTCGGGAACCTCCTGCATCACCCTGGCCATGCGGTGCCATGTAGGTGGGCCCAGGCCTACCCCAATCACAGGAACACAGGCTTCAAACTTTTCCCAGCTCAATTCATCTGTGCCCTGCAGAGAGGAGGTCGGATACCTCTGGTGCTTCTGGGTTCTGCCACCTCCCGACAGGTGAACCTTCTAGAGCCCTTGACCTGGAGAAGCGGCTACACTCGGGGCGGGAGGCAGAGGGGAGACATTTGGTTTTATTCAGTGCGCTCTCCTTTATGGCGAGTAATTGTTACTTGCTTTGCCTGCGGGGAGAGGAGGCTGTTCTCACTTCACCAGTCCTCGGGAACCCCATGTAAGAAAAATTAGACGTGCACCCACAGCAAACCAGAGGGTGTGGTTTGTGCCGCCCAGCCTTGGTTCCCCGTGGAAAAGGCTTCTTGGAAAACCACTCCCCCGTGCATCCAAGTGTTTGTTTACAGCTCATTAACTATTTGATGGAAAGGTTGGGGTGGGGGAAATATTGACAGAAAATCAATCAGAAATGAAGATTAACGATCTCCAAAATGTTCCTGTGAGTCCATAGGGAAATGGGACTTGAGTTCTAAAACCAGGGTGTGATAAATGAAGATTTTATTTCTCCATTTGCCATTGCACAGAGAGAAGCCACCAGGAATCAGGTGTGAGGAGTGGCCACGCCCCCAGGGAATTTGAGAGGGGCCGCAAGGGCACCTTTTAGCTTTAAGGCCTCTTCCTCCTGGCCTTTGTTCCTGTCAGCAGGGGAGAATAGAGGAGAAATTCAGGTTGGTTCACTCCACCACCACCATGACACTGGGCAAGCTGGGACCAGGACAAGGTCACATGGCTTGTCTTTCGCTGTGTCCCATGCCTCTGTTCCTGTTCTTTTTTTTTTTCTTGCTTTCTTTCTTTCCTTCCTTTTCGAGATGGAGTCTCATTCTGTCACCAGGCTGGAGTGCAGTGGCATGATCTTGGCTCACTGCAACCTCTGACTCCCTGGTTCAAGCAATTCTCCTGCCTCAGCCTCCCAAGTAGCTGGGATTACAGGCACCTGCCACCACACCCAGCTAATTTTTGTATTTTTAGTAGAGACGGGGTTTCACCATTTTGGCCAGGATGATCTCGATCTCCTGACCTCATCATGATCTGCCCGCCTCAGCCTCACAAAGTGTTGGGATTACAGGTGTGAGCCACCACATCTGGACGGTTCCTGTTTTATTCACTGGATGAGGTCAGGCTTCCCAGGTGGAGCTGGAAGGGAAAGGCAGGCAGGTATTTTCAAATAAGCCCATGGGAGCCAGAGGTCAAAGAACAGCTGGAAGATGCCTCATGCCAGTCCCAGGGTGGCTCTGGAATGGCACCAGCCACAGTAGGTCCAATCGTAGGGTGGAGAGGAACCCAGGCTTGGTACCCGCCCTCCAGTTCAGCTTGCAGGCTTCTGTCTTCATCTGTCCTCTTTCCATGTGAATGCAGTTCAGGCAGGGTCAGTGGTTAGCTTCTGCCCCTCACCCTGAACACAACTGCGTAGCACCCTCCAGAGGCCCTTCCATCCCTGGCAATGTGTCTACTAAGTCTGGCCCAGGCTGCTGCAGTCACCTGGGAAGATTCCCAGGTCCCCCTGCTGCAGAGGCCTGTTTGGGGCCTGCGCATCTTGGCAGGGCTGGATTTCCCAGGCTTAGTGGTTGGCTCCCAGGTGCACCACACTTCAGTGTGCCCCCCAGATCTGGCCACCTCTCCTAGGTACTGCCATTTCTGGCTCACTTCTCCCTGACTGTTGAGGGTCTTTTCTGCTTTCCATCCTGCAGAGATCCTTGAGACTAAGAAGCAGAACAGAGCCTGGCTGCCTGTTTAAAAGGAGAGGAAGAAAACAGTGAGGGAGAACCCCAGAGTTTGGATTGCAGTTGTCCCATCTTGCCTCATGGGGATCCACAGGGTGAATGTGAACACATCAGGGTGCTGAGGCTTGTGTGGAGTCTGGAGTCCCTGAGGCTGGAGTCCCTAGGGCAGAAGGTGGACCACCAGGGCTCCCAGGCATCACCCTTGAAATCTATTCCCTTGAGACATTAGTGAGCCTGGGCTGCTAGGGGTTTCTGGGGACACCCTCCTGCATTTAACACAGATGTCACTGACAGGGGAGCTCTGGGAGACCGCCATGAACTTTCAAGGCTGGAAGAGGTTTCAGATGCTCTACACTGGGGCGTCTACTGGTGCCACTTAGCACTACTGACATTTGAGGCTGAATACGTCTTTGTCAGGAGACTGACTGTGTGTTGTAGGACATCTGGTAGCATCCGTGCCTCTACCTCTAGATGCCAGCAGTGTGCACACCTCCTCCTATGTTGTGATAACCAAAAATGTCTCCAGACATTGTCACATTTTGGGGGAACAAAGTCACTCCCAGTGAGACCCATTACTCCACTAATCTTTTAACAAATGCACAAACCAATATCAAGAAATAGAATGTGGCGTAAGCAACTTCATCTAAGGCTAACACGTAGAGGGCTCAAATGCTTGGATTCTGGAATCAGCCACATCCAGACTCAAATTCCACTGCTACTACTCACTAGTTCTTCTGTGACCAGAGACAAGTAACCTCTCCTTGACTTAGTTTACCCCTCTATTAAATGTGCGTATTAATTTTCCCGCCTGTGTGGGTTGCCGTATTCAATAAGATGATGCACAGGAAGTGTTAACTGCCTGACATCTTGCAAGAGCTCAGTTAATAGCAGTGAATATCAGAATCAAAATACAGTTCTGGACTTTTCTCCTGATCAGAAGTAGAAAAGCCTGAAGAAGGTATGAGACAATGGAATTCTGAGGACACCCTACAACCTCTCTCTCACCAAAAAAAACCATAGACATAAAGAAAAGACTTTTGGCAAAGTTCTTAAACATGCTGAAGCATAATAAGCTGGGGCTGGGTGTGGTGGCTCATGCCTGTAATCCCAGCACTTGGGGAGGCTGAAGTGGGTGGATCACATGAGGTCAGTAGTTCAAGACCAGCCTGGCCAACATGGTGAAACCCTGTCTCTACTAAAAGTACAAAATTAGCCGGGCATGGTGATGGGCGCCTGTAATCCCAGCTACTTGGGAGGCTGAGGCAGGAGGATTGTTTGACCCTGGGAGGTGGAGGTTGTAGTGAGCTGAGATCATGCCATTGCACCCCAGCTTGGGTGACAGAGCGAGACTCCATTAAAAAAAAATAGCCAGGTGTGGTGGCAGGTGCCTGTAATCCCAGCTATTCCATGAGAATCACTTGAACCCGGGAGGTGGAAGTTGCAGGGGGCTGAGATTGCACCATTTCATTCCAACCTGGGTGACAGAGCAAGAGACTCCATTCCCGCCCCCCCAAAAGAAAGAAAAAAGAAAAATAAAATAAACTGGGCTATAACTTTCGAGGGAAGATGGAAAGTAGATGGGACACAGTGAGCCTGACCCTGAGAGGGCCCCAAGGTGGAGGTGGCTGGTGGTGACAGAGAAGGGTGTCACCAGGACAGTGGACAGGTGACTGGCTGAGGTATCGCAGCAGGAGCAGCAAGTGGCCCTTACATAGTTTGTCACCTCTACCCACAGGAGTGGATGCCTGGGGCAGATGCATGTGATAGGTTTGGTATCAAATGGGGGATTTCCTGAGGCTGGGCAAGTCTTAGAAAAAGTGAGGATCCTTCACTCCGAGGTGACAGGGGTGTGGCCAGGCCCATCGTCTGCTCTCAACAGTTCTTCCCTTTCCCTTCAAGCAGGATGAGCAATTGGAATTGCCAGCACTCAGCCTCAGAGAGGAAGGCAGAATCAAGAATGGCCACATGTTTGAGGAGAGCTGATAACAGAGCAGGATGAGTGAGGAGTTAGCTCCGAGGAGACAGAGGCAGCAGCACAAGTAGTAGGGACTTTGGGGTAAGAAAAATTAATGTCCTCTCGAAGATGTAAAGGCATTTGACCCATACAATAAAAATTAGTGGCCGGGCGTGGTGGCTTATGCCTGTAATTCCAGCACTTTGGGAGGCCGAGGTGGGCAGATCACCTGAGGTCAGGAGTTCGAGACCAGCCTGGCCAACATGGGAAAACCCGTCTCTACTAAAACTACAAAAATTAGCTGGTCGTGGTGACGGGTGCTTGTAATTCCAGCTACTTAGGAGCCTGAGGCAGGAGAATCGCTTGAACCTGGGAGGCAGAGGTTGCAGTGAGCTGAGATTGTGCCACTGCACTTCAGCCTGGGTAACACAGTAAGAATCTGTCATAAAAAAAAAAAAGAATTAG